AGGCTGTTGAAGCCGATAGTGCTGTCGAAATGTAAATCCAAGATGGCGGCTGCAATAGATATCAATTTTTTCATCATGGGTGTCATTTTCATGGTTTTCGAGTGTGTTGAAGTCGATAGTGCTGTCGAAATGTAAATGAAAGGTGGCGGCTGCAATAGATATCAATTTTTTCATCTTGGGTGTCATTTTCATGGTTTTCGAGGGTGTTGAAGCCGATAGTGCTGTTGAAATGTAAATCCAAGATGGCGGCTGAAGTAGGTACCAATTTTTTTATCATGGATGTCATTTTCATGGTTTTCGAGGGTGTTGAAGCCGATAGTGCTGTTGAAATGTAAATCCAAGATGGCGGCTGAAGTAGGTACCAATTTTTTTATCATGGATGTCATTTTCATGGTTTTCGAGGGTGTTGAAGCCGATAGTGCTGTCGAAATTTATTTAAACTACTTTAAAAATTCCGTATAATCATGTTATACGTAATTTTTTTAATGCGCTTAAGGTATGCCCAATTGGATTTACCAATATTTAACATATTTTTAAATTTCTCTTGTTTATATTGTGGTTTGAAATTGGAATTATAACTGACGTATATAGGTACTCTGCAGGTTTCGTTTCAATTTAAGAGCTTCCCAGATCTACGGACGTTGATCGGCCGATAGTTATCAGGGTCTTAATCAGTATTATTAGAATTTTTTGTTTAGGATAAGGGTAACAAACGAGCACACAGTAGTCTACCTGATGGTCAAGTGATTGCTGTGGCCCATAGACATCAACATCTATCTTGGAATACGAATCAAAGTGCAGATGCGTTATCACCCGTGAGGACTAAGATAGAGTGCCTCGTTTTGAATAAAAAGGTCTCCGCTTCTCTACACTCACCATACGAAACACAGTGTTAAGTCTAGCCGACCCATTCGTGCTATAACTATACTAATAATATAGCTGTAGCTTGGCTCTACCACGTAAAAATGTTTTCCTTTAGGTCTTCAAACAATACGTCCAATAATAACCTTTTAAAATTATTTATTTCTAATTACACACATAGGCACTAATTTTTACAATTTGCCCGCATGTATGCGCCTGTACGCTCGAATCAGACAGAATAACCATACATTATCTACTATTAACTACAGAATTTTAGTCACGGCGGCCAATCTTAACGGAGACTGCCATCTGCGCAGGACAGGATTATAGTGTCCGAGTGTGTGCGCGAACACAGGTGCACTGTATTCCTTCACTCTCATATTCAGCACGATCAGAGAGAGATCAAGCACAGAACCAACGGCCTTATGTGCTTTCCGAAGCACGTGGGTGAAACACCGTCAACTTCCTGACTCCGGGCAGCTACTGAGAATTTTTTAGGCGGAAAGACCCAACATCATGATCGGCAATCGCGTTTACGACCACTTGACCAACTAGTTATTCATTGTAAAATTATAACAATTTGTTTAATAAATGCGTTAGTAATTTTAGATTGCTAACAGTATGTAGATGTATGCGAGTGCACACATTATAATGCCTCTTCTACACTACTCGCGAAGTAACTTTGACAATGTGCTCGTCGAAGTCGATCGCAGTCCGAAAAACGTGACTACACACTCGTGCTACTTCGCGAAGAGCTCAATCGTATTGAGACTCCCGCACACTTAACATGAATGACGTTTAAGAGGCAGCTGCTATAGGTACCTAATTGTGTGAACAGTACGACGTCAATGCGTTAACTAAATAAATAATTATGTAGAAAGCAACATATTTAATATTTATATATAGGTATATAAAAAAAAAATCATAACTGGCGTAAGCCGAGTAGTGTAGTGAGACGCTTCGTGTAACTTCGAGGTACTTCGCGAAGCCCTTTGACTCTGGAGCAAAAAACCGACAGCGATCGGAAGTCGCCCGAGGCGAAGCGAGGTTGGACGAAGTGAATCGAAGTACCTCTCTACACTATTCGCCTCGTCCAACTTCTATCTACTTCGCGAGTAGTGTAGAGGAGGCATAATATTGTATTATCATTCGTACACATACACTTGATGATTTCTTGGTCAAAATGAAAGTCTAAAGCAAATCAGTGTTGAAAAAATAATTAACGTTAGTGAAATAAAATCACATATCCAATACATGCGAAAACAAAAAACATCCAAGGATGCAATCAATATTAAAACAATAATAAAAACCACAAAAAGTAGTGTAGTGAGACGCTTCATGTAACTTCGGGGTACTTCGCGAAGTCCTTTGACTCTGGCGCTAAATACCGACAGCGATCGCAAGTCGCCCGAGGCGAAGGGATGTTGCACGAAGCGAATTGAACTACCTCTCTACACTATTCGCCTCGTCCAACTTCGATCTACTTCGCGAGTAGTGTAGAGGAGGCGTAACAATTAGGTTATCAATCGAATAGCTTGATTAATTAGTTTGATGGGCTACACGATTTCCTTCAAGCTGAACTGTCGGCGAACTATCGACCAACTGCTAAATCATTACGGTATTATTCAACGCGCGCACAGCACACTCGACGCGTTCAGTCGACCGACTCAGCCGATAGTTGATATTTGCTCCATGCTTGACGAGCATAATATGCTTCGTGATGGCATTACTTATCGAAACGTTTATCGTAAATTTTGATAGAGGAAGTTTAAAAACTATATTTTTAACTTAGGGTGTTACCACACCAATCAAAATCGATCCATGTCGATCAATCGCATCGATCGAATAGTGTGGTAACATCCTAAAGGAGCAAAAGGAATTAAAAAAATCTATCCTTAATCGAATATCGATTTGATATTTAGCATCTAGACATCTCCAAAGCAAGTTAATAGGCTTTTTTACGCTAAAACAGTGCAATTTACTATCTAGCGCTACATCACCACTTGCACTTTTCAGGTGGGAGTGGAAGCACTGGCTTATAATAGGTTAAAATAATCGACAAAAAATTGTTCGATATGATCGATTATCGATATTCTGTCTAATGTCGATATATATCGATATTTTAAAATCAATTACACAATCAAGTTGCACCCCTATATATGGGGCTTGTCGTTCCATAATTTGGAACAGTAATAAAATAAACAATAATTACATGTAAATAATACTAGCGATCTGCCTCGGCTTCGCATGGTTGATTTCTGGATCTCGACAACAACGCCACCTACCGGGTTCAATTGTAAATCTAAACCATTCTGTAATCACCTTAATCATACAAAATTTCATCAAAATCGGTCCAGCCGTTTAGGAGTGGTCACATACTCACGGACAGAAGAATTATATAATGTGCTAGCTGTCCCTCGTGACTTCGCCCGCGTGGATTTTGCTACGATTTCATGGGTTTTAATTTTTTTGCGCGGAACCCTAATTATTTTTCAAAAATAAAAGTATCCTAAGTTACTCCCTATGACATAGTCTGCCAGTGAAAGTCCCATCAAAATCGGTCCAGCCGTTCCGACGATTAGCCGGAGCAAACAGACAAACAAAAGTTTTAAAAATTGTTTTGTTTTTTATAAGTACCGTATATACTTTCATACGCATTTAGTAAAAAGCTGCTATTTTAACATTACAAATAGACACTTCATTTTTATTTATTTGTATAGATAATATGCATGTAATAAACCTTCATCCAGAATGATTGTCTACTGATAAAAACCGCACCAAAATCGGTTGCGTAGTTTAAAAGATCTAAGCGTACAGACGGCGGGAAGCGACTTTGTTTTATACTAAGTAGAGATAGATATGTTGAAGCCTTCATTGAACAATGATGGTGTCTCTGTTGAAAGTAGTATATTCATCTACGTCAGTAATAATGTATCCAAAAATAGAGCGGGTTACGGAACACGTATATTGTGGCATTTCGGTTCGCTCCATTGCGAATTGCTGTAAAACTAGTTTCATCTTAGAAGCGTTACATCTATTTTCGTCTGTGTGTTAAGTGCTAAGTAGTTAGAGAGAGTCTTGGGTTTGAATAGTCGAGGTCATTTGTATAATATGTGTGTACAAGAGGCTTGCTGGTGACATCAATGTGTTAAAACCAACCTTGTACGTGGTAGAATCACGCTGCAGCTATATTATGGTCGGCGACCAGGGAAGGATCACGCTGTCACAGAATACCGGCATAATTTAGCACCTCAATGCTGCTGTGTTTCATATGGTGTGTGTAGAGAACCGGAGACCGTTTTTACTGGAAATGCATTCCATCTTAGTCCTGAATGGTGACAACGCATCTGCATATTGATTCAATTGAGGATAAATGTAGCTATAATAGGATAATGTATGTCTATGGGTCACATCATCTACATACAATCTGGTGAACTGTGCTCGTTTGTCAATCTTATTCTATAAATAGCCGGCGAAGTGCAAGTCGGACTTTCGCATAAAGGGTTCCTACCATCGTAATACATCTTTCTAATAGGGAGTCCCTTTTAATTTTTAATTTATTTTAATTTTTATTATTCATTGTTATAGCCGCAATAGAAATACACATTCTGTGAAAATACAGACGGACGGACGGACGGACAGCGGAGTCTTAGTAATAGGGTACCGTTGGATACCCTTTGGGTACGGAACTCTAAAAATGTTTTTTATTATTTTAAACAATTGTTAGGAAGATGCTTGCCATGTTTTATATAATATTAACTTTCTGTGGTAACTACTTTTTACGTGGTAGAGCCATGGTGCAGCTATATTCTGGTATAGTTGTAGCACAAATGGGTCGGCTCGACTGGGGAAGGACCACGCTCTCACAGAATACTAGCGTAAAATAGCAGCATAACGCGCTGCTGTGCTTCGTGAGTGTAGAGAACCGGAAACCCTTTTTTACTGGAAAAGAGGCATTCCATCTTAGTCCTCACGGGTGGCAACGCATCTTCATTTTGATTTTTAACTGAGGATAGATGTAAATGTCGACTGGCTACAAAGTCCACTTACCATCAGGTGGACTGTAAGCTCGTTTGTCACTAGTATTCTATTAAAAAAAAAAAAAACAGAAAAATAATAAAAGTGTCCTTTGTCGACAGGTCGGTGCATCGCGTGGCGTTGCGAGCGGAGGCATCGCGGTCTATAGCTAGTGCAGCCGGGGCTCGGAGCTAGCGCGCGCCACCATGAACGAGCTGGACAGTTTGCGTCAGGAGGCTGAGACGCTCAAGAATGCGATACGGGTGAGTCACACATAAAAAGGTCCTATCCTACCTACCTTCACATGAAGGCTTTAGAAACTACCATTGCAAAATCATTTAACCTTTTCAAGCTGAAAGACTGAAATTTTTAGAGGCTGGAAGGAAGATCGCATTTTGTACGCGAGCTGTTTAAATTCGATGCCCAGTGATACTGATGAAGTAGGAGGTAATCTCAAGCTGTAAATTCGACTCTATTACTTGGGGTTAAGAAATGGATATGGAGAAGTGTTTTCGATCGATCTAGAATGTAGATTGATGGGATTGAGGCCTTAAAAAAGGATTGCTTCGTGTGATGGCAAATCTTTGAAAAAATCGATCCCCGGATCAATTAATATAAAATTGATCTTACGGTCATTCATTTAATCGAGTTTCTTTTCCAATTCGGATTTAGATATTATTAGTTATCTGTAGATAATAATTTGCCGGCGCCTGTCTCTCAATGCGATTACAATCAGCGTCTTCAGAGCAAGAGTTGAACTTATCATAGTCAGTAGGTACTAGCTAAGCAAAACGCGTGTGAGCGCGCGCACACACACACACACACACACACACACACACACACACACACACACACACACACACACACACACACACACACACGCACGCTCGCATGCACACGCACACACAAAGTGCTTTTTAGCTGTCCACTTTCTCTTTTTCATTTTGTATTGACTGGTCTCAATACTGTATTATGTAAATTTAAGGAAAGCAGCGAGGTAGTTCCAACACAAGTATTTTATAACTTACTGGAGCTACCTCAATTTCTGTAATGCATGACAATGTATTGAGAAACAATAAACATATTATTATTATTAAAAGTCACTACCATCTCTGCACAGGGAGGACGACTTACTGGGCCACGCCGCAAAAGAGAAAGCCGACCTTTTAGGCTCCCTTTATGCGTCCAACTCGACTCTTGATGACGGGGGAAACACACCGCCGCCATCCCGCGGTGTGAGTGCTCTATGCCGGATGTGCGGTTCTCACAGCGCTCGGTTCGCAGAGCACTTCTCTCCCTGGACATCAACAAGTCGAGTGAGTCTGACGGAATCCTCCCAATTGTGCTGAGGACGTGTGCTCCGGAGTTAACACCGGTTCTAACGCGTCTTTTCCGGTACTCCTACTCCCTAGGCGTAGTCCCGAAATCTTGGAAGACAGCTTTTGTCCACCAGATCCCTAAAGAAGGTGACCGCTCAGACCCGTCCAACCACAGGCCTATCGCCATTATATATATATCCTTGTTCTCCAAAATAATGGAATCCGTTATAAACTGCCACCTCATGCGGTACCTTGAGAATCACCAGCTGATCAGTGACCGCCAATACGGTTTTCGTCGGGGTCGATCAGCTGGTGATCTTCCTGGTCTACTTGACTCATAGATGAGCAGAGGCAGTAGAGTCCATGGGGGGGAGGCATTGGCCGTTAGTTTGGACATTGCGAAGGCCTTCGATCGGGTTTGGCACAAAGCGCTTCTTTCGAAGCTCCCTTCCTATGGGGGGCTTCCCGAGAAATTGTGCAATTGGATCACCAGCTTTCTTGCAGATCGGAGCATCAAGGTCGTTGCAGACTGTGCATGCTCCGACTACAAGCCTATTAACGCTGGTATTCCACAAGGCTGCGTGCTATCACCAACGCTGTTTCTTCTGCATATCAATGATATGTTGCAAACATTGTTTGCTATGCATTCATTGCTATGCAGATGACAGCACTGGTGATGCTCTATACACCGGCCGTGCCAATATTTCTCGGGAAAACGTCGCCGAGTACCGTAACAAACTTGTGTCTGAAGTCGAGTCTTTGCTGGACAAAGTCTCGGATTGGGGGCGACTAAATCTAGTCCATTTTTATCCTCAGAAGACACAAGTTTACCACTAAAAAGAACCCCTTTGTCGTATCTCCTCAGTTTCAAGCCACCCCCCTTCTTGCCTCAGCCAGTATCGGAATCCTCGGCGTCGACATATCGAGTGACGTGCAGTTTCGTGGTCACTTGGAAGAGAAGGCCAAATTTGCCTCTAAAAAGCTTGGCATGCTCAGCAGAGCGGGACTGTATTTCATGCCGGCACAACGCCTGCAACTTTATAAGGCGCAAGTTTGGCCTCACATGGAATACTGTTCCCATCTCTGGGCTGGGGCTCCCCAGTGCCAGCTCCTTCCACTTGACCGCATCCAGCGCAGATCGGCTCGAATCGTCGACGACCGAGTCCTTTCCGATCGGCTCGACTCATTGACGCTGCGAAGAGATGTTGCATCTATTTGCATTTTCTTTCGCATTTACCACGGGGAGTGCTCTGAGGAATTGTTCGGATTAATCCCAGCCGCCAAATTTCACGAACGCACATCGCGGCAGAACTCCCGATACCATCCACACCATCTGGATGATTGGCGGTCCACCACTGTGCGATTTAGAAGATGTTTTCTTCCTCGCACAACTTCCTTGTGGAATAGTTTACCACCAGCGATTTTCTGGACCGTTACGACTTAGGGACCTTCAAGAAAAGAGCCTACTCCTTTTTAAAAGGCCGGCAACGCATCTGCAATTCCCCTGGTGTTGCGGTTGTTCATGGGCGGCGGTATTCACTTACCATCAGGTGAGCCGCATGCTCGTTTGCCCCCTCTCCTATAAAAAACAAAGTTAGAATTACAGCTTATATACGTCCCACTGCTGGTCACAGGCCTCCCCTCATTTCTGAGAGGGTTTTAGGGCAAGGAAATGTCCGCCGCGGTGCCACAATGTGTGTTGGCGAACTTCACGTCATCGAAATTTTTTTTCTTATTTCTCAGACATGCCAGTTTCCTCACGATGTTTTCCTTCACCGCCGAGCACGTGGTAAAATTATTATTATTAAGAGTGATTAGGTTTTTGTTACGCTAAGACAGTGTGATTTTACATCTAGGGCTTCATGAAAACTCACTGGCTTGTACATACAATATCATATCACATAATTAAAATATATGTTATCAACTATTTTAATATTCTTGGCATGTTTATCTTGCTTATTGTGCGACTACTAAATACACAAGGGGTATGGAATGATAACATTGAGGAACATTGTGTATTCTTGTTTATAAATTATTAGCAATGGCCCGAAATTCGTTTTACATTTGGTTTAACCAAATTTCGGTAGCTTGAGCATAGCTTCTGCTTACGGTACATGTACCTACAAGGAAGAAGTAAAATACCTGCACTGCACTATTTTGATTAAAGTTAATAGAAATCTGTCATACTTGTAAAATAAGTCGATATATACGCTATAATCATGCTCATATTTGTTCATTAATAATTACTATCATTATCATTTTGCTCATTTTATTACGTTTAAGTCGTAATTATGTATACATATACGTAGTAGAACCATGCTGCAGCTATATTAGAAGTATATTGTAGCACGAATGGGTCGGATCGGCCGGGGAAGGACCCACGCTCTCACAGAATACCTGCGTAAAATAGCAGCTTAACACTGCTTTGTTTCGTATGGTGAATGTAGAGAACCGGAAACCCTTTTTTACTGGAAAAGAGGCATTCCATCTTAGTCCTTTATTGAGGATAGATGTAGATGTCTATGGGTCACAGCAACCACTTACCATCAATCAGGTGGGCTGTGCTCGTTTGTCACCCTATCCCAGGGCTCGGAACCGGTTTAAAAAGAGCGGTTAATTTCGATTAATTACCGGTAAATTTATCGCTCCTTCAATTACCGGTTAAAAAATTAACCGGTTATGATTAAACCTAAACGATAAAGGTTACCGGTTACTTAACGGTTTTGACACCCAAATTAACCGGTTAATTCCGTAAAACGTAAAGGCAGTTATGAATAGGACAGGTAGATTCATGTTGGGAGGAGCTTATGCGGCATCGCCGCATGCGGACATACTTATCATCAATTATCTGCCTTTAAGCTATACGTTTTTTCAGTCGCGATCAGGATGTGTAGTGGGAGTTTGGCGTTTACGAAAAACGTGAAAGTATTAGAGATGTTTTGAAAAAAGAAAGGCAGTTGTTGTGTTTGGTTTATTCGTTAAGACTGGACTTGTCTTATAACGAAGAAAATAATTTATTCTTGTGTATCGGTTGTTTATTAATGATGGGTAGAAAAAAATATTGAATTTTTTCCATGTTTACGTTTTAACAATGAGAGCCACGCGGCAGCTTTTGCTATCGCATGCATGGGCCACCTCGAACCAAATTACCACGACCTCACAGAATACCAGCGTGAAGTAGAAGTTTACTTCTGCGTTTCGCTTGGTAAGTATAGGTGGTCGGATGCCCAATCCCACCACCCTACTACCTACCTACTATAGTGGAATCAAATAAAAAACTACCCCAGGAGGGTAACAGTATGCTGGTGACGGAGAATCCTTCGCTGAGCACCCACGTCCAAGCTACCCTACGGTTCCTGAGCGTGTGTGCTCAAGCTGCCCCGCGTATTCTGGTATACTAGGGGGTATCCGCAGAAATCGTGACCCTTGGCAATTTTAACGACCATCACGCCTAATGGCTCGGTTCACATTTAACCGATCATGTGGGGAAATTTGTTTATGACTTTACCTTGGCATATGGTTGCATAGCTGGTTACTTTGCCTACGCGGATTCCAGATGTGGAGGATCATGCACCTTCCCTGTTGGAACATCTGCTGACCTCTTTATCTGGATGGATATCAGGTTTCCGTCGACACCCCTCACGGCTCCTACGGCCATTGTCTTGTCCGGAGGGTCGTGTCACTCACACTATCTTCGCAGTTGAATTCTGCAGGCTGCCGCCGTGTTTGGCACCATAGGCTGTCCAAGGGAACTTCTGTCAGCCATCTCTGCAAAAAGAGGGGGACTCATTGAGTCCATGCCGCAAAGGAAAAAGCCGATCTGTTAATCTCGCTTTTTGCGTCCAACTCGACTCTCGATGACGGAGGAACACACCGCCGACCATCCCGCGGTTAGAGTGCTCCATGCCAGATGTGCAGCTTACACATCACTCAGTTCACAAAGCACTCCCCTCCCTGGTCGTCAACAAGTCGAGAAGGCTTGATGGAGTCCCTTCCATTGTGCTGAAGACGTGTGCTTCGAAGTTGGCACCGGTTTTAACGCGTCCTTTCCGGTACTTCTACTCCTAAGGCGTTATCCCAAATTCATGGGAGACAGCTTTGGTTCACACGAGCCCTAAAAAAGGTGACCGCTCAGATTGACAGGTCTATCGCCATCACCTCCTTGTTCTCCAAAATAATGGAATCCATTATAAACAGTTTTCGTCGGGGTTGATCAGCTGGTGATCTTCTGGTCTATCTAACTCATAGATGAGCGGAGGCAGTAGAACCCAAGGGGTAGGCATTGGTAGTTAGTTTGGTCATAACGAAGGCCTTCGATCGGGTCTGGCACAAAGCGCTTCTTTCGACGCTCCCTTCCTATAGACTTCCCGAGAAATTGTGCAATTGCATCACCAGTTTCCTTACTGATCGGAGCATCAAGGTCGTAGTAGACAGTACATGCTCTGATTACAAGCCTATTAACGCTTGTGTTCCACAAGGCTGCGTGCTATCACCAATGCTTTCTACTGCATATCAATGATATGTTGCAAACTGGTAACAACGACAGCACTGGTGATGCAATATACACCGGCCGTACCAATATTTCTCGGGAAAACGTCTCTAAGTACCGGAACAAACTTGTGTTTGATGTCGATTCTTTGCTAAACAAAGTCTCGGATTAAAAGCGGCTAAATCTAGTCCAGTTCAATCCCCAGAAGACACAAGTTTGCACGCATACCGCTAAAAAGAACCCCTTTGTCGTATCTCCTCAGTTTTAAGGCACTCCCCTTGCTGCCTAAGCTAGCATCGGAATCCTCGGCGTCAACATATCGAATAGTGTGCTGTTTTGTGGTCACTTGGAAGGGAAGGCCAATTTGGCCTCTAAAAAGCTTGGCGTACGCAGAAGAGCGGGGTAGTATTTCATGTTGGCACATCGCTTATCGACGGATTCAACTCGGTTGGGCAGCGTTCGGGAAATTACGGCACATCTTCTCGTCAGGTATACCTCAAAACTTGAAAACGAGACTGTACACCCAGTGCGTGTTGCCAGTGATAACATACGGAACTGAGACGTGGTCCTTCACTGCTGGCCGGATGAGGAAGCTCAAGGTCGCTCAGCGAGCTATGGAGAGGGCTATGCTCGGAGTTTCTCTGCGTGATAAACTCAGAAATGAGGATATCCGCAGTAGAACTAGAGTGACCGACATAGCCCAACGGATTAGTAAGCTGAAGTGGCAATGGGCCGGCCATATAGCTCGAAGAACCGACAACCGATGGGGAAGAAAGGTTCTCGAGTGGCAGCCTCGTACCGGCAGGCGAAGTGTAGGGCGTCCCCCCACTAGATGGAGTGACGACCTGGTAAGATATGCAGGAAGTCGATGGATGCAGGTGGCTCAGGACCGTGCTTTGTGGCATTCTTTGGGGGAGGCCTATGTTCAGCAGTGGACTTGTGAAGGGCTGTAATGATGATGATGATGATGACATCGCTTACAACTTTAGAAAGCGCAAATTCGGCCTCTCATTTCTGGGCTGGGGCACGCCAGTGTCAGCTCCTTCCACTTGACCGCATCCGCAGAGCGGTTCGTGTCGTCGACGTCCGAATCTTTTCTGATCGGCTCGATACACTGGCACTGCGTAGGGATGTTGCATCCCTTTGCATTTTCAATTGCATCTACCTCGTGGAGTGCTCTGAGGTTCGGTTTAATCCGTCACAATTCACGATACCATCCTCACCATCTGGATGCTTGACGGGCCACCACTGTGCGTTTTACTAGGAGTTTTCGTCCTCGTAGAACTTCTCTGTGGAATTGTTTATCACCAACGATTTTTCCAGGCTGATACGACTTTGGGACCATCAAGAAAAGAGCTTACTGCTTTCTAAAAGGCCGGCAACGCACCTGCTATTCCCCTGATGTTGCGGTTGTTCATGGGCGGCAGTAATCACTTACCATCACGTGACCGCATGCTCGTTTGCCCCTTTTCTATAGGAAAACGTACGACGAGTAAACCCAAAAATCTAAGTGCTGGATTGAAGGCTGTAATACAACTATGGGTGGTGGTGGGTGGTTTCTGGAACACTCATTATACCCAAATTCATCCAATAACTGTACTTGGCACGAACCAGGATTCAAAACCAGGACCAAATCATTATCCACAGTCGCGCTAGTAACCACATACAAACAGACAATTTTTTTTATATTATATACTTTCATGATATGTATTTAGTAAAATCTGTTATTTTGACGTTACGAAAAGACACTTCAATTTTATTTATCTGAATAGTTTCATATTCGTAAAATATGAAAGTTTGTGAAAAATTCGAAAGTGATTACTATATTATTTTGATTTTGAGGCGTCAAAAAACTTGGCTGCTCTTTTAATAATTCTCTTTTACAATTCAATACAAGATCGTAGATATCAGTGTGATTTATACTGATGATCTAGTTGATTGGGGGTTATTAATAATTACTTTAAATAAAAGACAGGATTTTAGTGTATGTATTTGGTTACAGTCGACAGCAAAGTATAGCCGAATTTAATCATAATGATTTGTTAGATTCAAATTATTTTTCTTTATTAACTTCAGTATCAGTAAATTTAATTTCGTCTATGTGGTTACCTTGCACTCTATTTAGAAAAGCTAATATTTTTTAGTAGCATTTTGAACGTATACAGCAAGATAAGATTTGCTCCAATTCCTCATTAATGCGATGTGAAAAATGTTAATTTCTTTTGTTAGAATTCTCTGAACATAAAAAACAATTTATAAGGCGCAGGTTGAGCAAAATGTCGCGCTAGTCGTTATTTGTGCGGTTTTTAGAAGCTATCTACTTTTTATTTAAAAGATATATCAACAAATAAAAAACACATTATATTTCTACATAATCTTGATTCCATAAAAGCTATATCCAATTTTTTTTAAAACGAATAAATATTAATATAATCTCCTTACAACGAAACCACATAAATGTGAAATTATTATTGATAACATGGATCTCCTCGTAAAGTAAGTATTATTTTATTTTGCGATTTACACCAATGGATAGACAATTTATTAATAAACATTTCTATAGTAAATTTTTTTTCAAAAGACCAAAATTTGATTTTATTAAGAAATTATTTTAAAATCTGGGCATATTCACTGCTCACGGGCTTGCTAGAGTCAGTGAGCCCTGAGCTCTTCGACGCGAAGCCCGTGTCGTTAGAGCGTCGACCAGCGCCGCATACACTCACGTAATATCAGTCGATAAATAATATTACTTATTAGGTTATTTATAGGTAGTATTATTTGTTTGTTTTGGGTATAATTTTTCGTATTAGTTATACATATATTTGTTGTGTTTTTTACTGCGCGATGAAGCTTTTTGCGTGTATTTTCTTTGAAGTAAATGCAAATAAAAAAATGAAGCACCATTGGCATGTAAGGTTCGAATCCATAATTAAAATTTCGATAAATATTATAATTTACACTATAAAAGGCTAATTCAATATTATCACCCAACCACAATATCTTATTACGTACAGTACTGCCTCGTTGGTCTAGTGGTTGTAGTAGTGCGACTGCTGATCATTAGGTCCCGGGTTCGAATCCTGGGTCGGGCCCTGTCAGTTATGAGTTTTTCATTTATGTTCTAAGTTATAATTAGTATTACTAAGTTATAGTTTTTTGCTAAAATATAGTATATTATTTATTGCTTGTTTTTTCTTCTTTTTCAAAAAATAATTGAGTACATAAGGTGTTCTATACTTATAATTCGGTAAAAAGTATCTAAGTACTTGAAGTTTTGATTTGTAATAGAAGATAGATGTAGATGTCTATGGGCCGCAGCAACCACTTACCATCAGGTGGACTGTGTGCTCGTTTGTCACCCCTATCCTATAAAAAAAAAAGTAGGTACTAATATACCTACTTTTTACTACTAAAAATTTTTAAAACTAAATTTAACTAAAAAGACTAAACTGA